CGCCCACCCGTCCCCGCCGTCTGTCCCTGTCTGGTGCGAGGGGAGCGGGCGGAGGTGTCTGGTAAGTGGCTCCGCGGGCGCGCGGGGGCGGGGGACTCCTGGGAGGGAAGGCGCGGGGCTCCCGGACCCCCCGAGGCTCCCCGGAGGCGGGTCCGATGGGCTCAGCCCCGGGCTTGCTCAGGGCGGGCTGCGGCGCCGGGAGCCGCGGAGGGCCGGGAGGTGAGGGGCCCCGCCGGGGAAAGGCTCGGGGACTCTGCGAGCGCCTCCAGGTGCGCCCCGGGAGGGAACGGACATCGGAGGGTGTGTGCGCCCGCCCACAGCGCCAGGAGCCGGGGCAGCCGTCGGGGGCGGGACTCCAACCCTCCCTCGCGCGGCTCTGCAGGGCGCCGGGCTCCGGAGCCCCGAGGAGCCTTTTTCCCGCCCGTCTCCCCGCCCCCTGGCGCTGCCAGCCCACTCTGGCCCGTGGAGTCCTCCGCCGGCGACCTTGAACCCCGACGGGCAACACCCCTGCCCTCGCCCGGCACCCCTCCCCCACCCCGAGACTCCCCTCCCCGGCGGCCCCGGCTCGCCGCGGCGGTTCAGCGCCAAGATCCTCTTCGGAGGAGTCCGGCGCGGCGCCCGTGCCACGTTCCCGGCGCCCTTCTCCCTCCGGAGAGCTCCCGAGTCGCCTCTTCCACCCCGGGGGCGCACCCGGGACCACAGCCTTCCGGGAGTCCTCGAGCGAAAGCCTACCAAGCCAGGACCCACACCCCAAGCCACCCCCCAACCTCCACCCCCGCCCAGGCGTCCAGAGCTCGCGCTGGGGTCCTCCGGGAAAGGGTGGGGGGCGCTGGAGGATCCGGGAAGCTCGGTGCCCGGTGCCCACGCCCAGAGGCTGCAGTAACTGCGTGCTAGGGGCTTGGGGGAGGGCAGGACACTGGAGAGCCAGGGCCCTACCCACCAGGACAGAGATGGGGGGCGCCCCCAAATGGGCTGGCCCCTCCACACCAGTCCCAAAACGGACAAAACGGGGTGCCTGCACTGGCTGCTGGGGCAAAGGGTGCCTCTCCAGGGCCACGCAGGAGCAACGGGGTGCGGGGGAAGGTGGAATCTTAGACTCACCTGACCCAAGCCTGGGCTGGACCTCTTGGTTATGGGTTATGGGCCGTGCTGCCCACGGCCTCCCAGTGACACACGGGGCACCCGCGCCCAACAACGAGGAGCAGCGTGCACGCTGAACAGAGCTGGGTGTCCCATAAGGCCAAGTTGGGGGACTCAAGCAGCTGTCCCTCAACACAAGTCAGAGGCTAGGACTCGGCTCCTTGGCTGTGGGGGGAGAACACCAATGGGTGCTCTGCCAAGAAGAGTCCCCAAGGTCAGGGGACCTCTGAAGCCCACAGGGTCCTGTCCTCAACCCTTCCTGGCCCACAGGCGGGCGCCATCCCCCGCCCGCTCCTGGCCCGACCTCCCCTGTGCAGCCTCCTGGCAGGGTATTTGGAACGTGAGGGGCGATGGGTTCCTGGTGTCCACCCCGCATTTGTCCATGTACCCCAGCTCCCAGGTACGGGCACACCGACTGTGCGCATCCTGCCGGCCCGCACACCCCAGACATGCACACGCATGTACACGCACGTGTGCACACGCTCCCAGCACACGGGTGCCCTGGTATCCAGGCGTGGCTGTGCGCACAACGCACATGCAGACAGCTAGTAGCTTCTACGCGCGCTCCCCGCAGTCACACACAAACAGAACTTGCACTTGCCTTCCCGCCCACACGTTCCTCCATAGGGTACCGGCTGGAATCTGGGCACCCTTCATTTTCCCACCACTCACTGAACCCCTGAGCGCAGCCTGGAGAACCCCCCTCACCCCCTCTTCCCCCCACATCCCTCTCCTGGGAGGCCCAGCCTCAGGCCTCCGCAGCTGGCGCTCGGTGCACTTGGAGCTGGGCGCGGGTGAGCCGTGGCCCCTGCTCCCGTCCGAGGCTGGCACCGGGGACCGACATTGCCACCTAGCGGTGCGCCGGGCCTCGGGCGGCCGCGGCTCTGCTCGCCCGGTCCCAAGCTGACCTGGGCCCCGGAGAAGCCAGCCTGAGGGGGCGGTGGTCAGGTCTGCGGGTGGCCCTGAGGGATTCAGAGATGGTGGTGCTGGAGGGCCCAGCGGAGCGAGGCCGCGTGCTGCCTGCGGCTGGCACCTTCCCCGGGCTGCCCGGCGCGGACTCCACCTCTGCGGAGACAGGTCGTCTCTGACAGAGACAAGAGGCCTCTCCTCTTGGAGAAAGCTCCGCGGGGGAGCCGACAGGGGATGAGGGGGCCCTACCCAGGCCTCACCTGGCCCATCCACCCCTTGTTGAGGGCTTTGAGGGGAGGGAGGTGGCGCGGAGGCAGGACGCTCCGAGGGATCTTCGGGGTGGCTCCTGGGTGAATCGCACCCCCGCCCCTGCTTAGAAGCGGGACGACTCTGAGCAAGGGAGTTGGCGCGACCCTGCGCTCCGCCGGGGTCGGGGGACACGAGGAGACGAGGCCGCTGGTGCAGGCCGCGGTGAGGATGAGTCCCTGACTCGGAGGCCCCTGACTCGGAGGCCCCTGACTCGGAGCTAAGGCTCAAAGCCGGGAGCCACTGTCGTTTCCATAGTCGGCACCTCCCGCCCCATTCGGAGCCCGCTGGCCCGTGTCCCGGCCGCGGGGGTCACGGAGACTTTCCCGGGCCAGCTCCCGAGCCCTCCCGGGGGAGCCGAGGCCGGCGGCGGCCCGCGGGGCTCCTGCCCGCTCAGTTCGGAGAGTCACGCCCGAGGCTCCACTTCAGAGGCCCCCAGAGCCCGAAGGGGCCCTAAGATGGGCGCCTCTGGCCTTTGCCCTTGACTCATCCGTGACCTTGGGGGAGGGCGCCGCGGTTCTGAGCCTCTCCAGGGAGCAAAAGATGTGGGAGGGGCGGGCTTGACCCGCCAGGCCCAGAAGCTGGGTCTGTGTCTGCGACGGAGGATTAGGGGCCAGGCTTGGTGGGGGAGGGGTGTCCCCTGGGCTCTGGGCTCCAGCCTCCGGGGCTTTCTCGGGCTGGGGCTGGGATTTGGTTGTGGATCCGCAGCAGCTGGGGAGGTGCCGCAGGGTGGGGGGTCCTTTCTATTTTGCAAATGAGAGAGGTGAGGGCGCAGCAGGTGGCTCTCTGAGGCCACCAGCCCGTCCCCTCCGCCTGCAGCCCAGGCTGCGGGTGAGCGTCCCTGCCTCCACCCCCCGCTGCCTCTGCCTCTCTTTCTCTCACACACAGACGCACAGGATTGCGTAGACGACAGCGTGCTGCGGGCTGGCAGGGCTGTGATGGGCCCGTGTGCGTGTGTAATGGGGCCCGTGTTGGCGGGTGTGAAGGAGGCTGGGCTGAGCACCGAGCGCAGGGGCGTGGGCCTCCCTCACTGGCATGGGAGAGGAAGAGGGGAGGGCGGGGGCAGGGGGACCGCGTGGGTGGGGGGGAGTGCAGGCTCCCAGGAGGGGCTTTGTGCAGGGTCTCCAGGTGAGGCACCCCTAGGTGTGTCCCGGTGGGCCAAGGGGTGCCCACCTGCAGGGGCTGACCCAGGCGCCCTCTGCAGCCGCTCCTCTCTCTCTGGGGACCCTCTTGTCACCTTTTGGGTTCCCAGTCAGGCCGTGGGGCTGGCCCGGCCCTTGGGAAGCCGTGCGTGTCCTTGCTTCTGTGTCCTCACCGGCAGGGCTGAGTCTCTGGATGCCTACAGGCCCCAGCTCCCCACCACACCCTGTTCCTCCACCATGTCCTGGGCTGGGGTGAGGGCTTAGGTTGGGGATGCTGCAGCTGCATGTACCTCCCTAAGCCTCTCCGCATGGCCCCCTCACCCTCGGGTTCTCATTTCCTTGTCATGTCCTCCTGTCTGGGATGTGGGGGACCGTCCCCAGCTGGCGTCACTGGCGTCACTGGCTCCTATGGCTCTCTGGCCTCTTTGCAAGAACCCTCAGCTCCGGGACAGCAACTTGGCCTCAATTTGCTGCAGAACTGTGGCCAGGTTATTTAACATCTCTGTGCCTCAGTCTCCTCGTCTGTCAGTACCGAAAAATAACAGTAACTCGTAGGGCTGTTGTGAGGATGAAATGAGTTAATACAAAAATTGTAAAAAGTGCTTGGCACTTAGGAGACAGGAAGTGTAGCTGCTAACTAGCCAACTCTTGCCTCTGCCCCAGAGCCTTCTGTAGGGACCCCCCCCCCCCGGCTGTTTTTTTTTTTTTTAAGATTATGCACACAAGAGCTGGGGTACAGGCAGAGCAGGGAACAGAAAAGACAGGCTGGCTGAAAAACACTGCTGCAGGGAGCAGCAGGCGCGACAGGAGAGGTCTGCCGCGCCATGTGGGTTGCTCCCTGACTGACCAGGGATGTACTCGTGCTGCAGTGGCTGTGGACAGCTTCATAGTGCGGTGCTTGACCCTCAGGCCACCAGGGAGGTCCCCCGGGGCTGTTTTGGTTAAGAAACTCAGAGGGGGAGAATGAATGAATGATGCTTCTCAAGAGCATCCCATGTTGACCTCTAAGACCCCTGGCCCCCTCTCGGTCCCCACTGCCCCCCCCAGCCCTTGGCCCACACTGGCCTCTGAGTCCCATGCAGGCTTCCTTTCTCCCTCTGTTCGGCGTAGCTGCCTCCTTATCATCCAGACCACCCGCCTCCTAGGAGACTCTGTCACTGATCACCCAGCGAGGAACCATCGAGATCTGCCTTCTGACTCACTAAGCCATCACCCGGCCTTGTTTTCCTTCCAGCACTTTTTTTGTCGTTGTTGCTCACGGGTTTGCGTGTCTCCCATGAGAGTGGGAGCCGAGTATCTCGTTCACTTCTGTAACCCCCAGCCCTGGAATAGCGCTTGCGCATAGTAGGCCCTCTGAGAAAGGCAAATCGTATGCAGGCAAGGGAACTCCTGGGCCGGAGTTCACGGAGACGCTGCGGGGTGGTGTTCCTCCATCACCTTGGCTTCAGTTTACCTCACGTTACCCCTCGCATCCTCTTCAGTGTTTCACCTCTTCCGTCTCTCCTTCCTCTTCAGCCGCCGCCCGCCCACACCTGCTAACCAAAATGGCGAACTTCACACCCGTCAACGGCAGCTCGAGCAACCAGTCTGTGCGTCTGGTCACAGCCACCCATAACCGCTACGAGACCGTGGAGATGGTGTTCATCGCCACGGTGACAGGCTCGCTGAGCCTGGTGACTGTCGTGGGTAACATCCTGGTGATGCTGTCCATCAAGGTCAACAGGCAGCTGCAGACGGTCAACAACTACTTCCTCTTCAGCCTGGCGTGCGCCGACCTCATCATCGGCGCGTTCTCCATGAACCTCTACACCGTGTACATCATCAAGGGCTACTGGCCCCTGGGCGCCGTGGTCTGCGACCTGTGGCTGGCCCTGGACTACGTAGTGAGCAATGCATCTGTCATGAACCTCCTCATCATCAGCTTTGACCGGTACTTCTGCGTCACCAAGCCCCTCACCTACCCAGCCAGGCGCACCACCAAGATGGCGGGCCTCATGATCGCCGCCGCCTGGGTGCTATCCTTCGTGCTCTGGGCGCCTGCCATCTTGTTCTGGCAGTTTGTGGTGGGCAAGCGGACGGTGCCGGACAACCAGTGCTTCATCCAGTTCCTGTCCAACCCGGTGGTGACCTTCGGCACGGCCATCGCGGCCTTCTACCTGCCCGTGGTCATCATGACGGTGCTGTACATTCACATCTCCCTGGCCAGTCGCAGCCGAGTCCACAAGCACCGGCCCGAAGGCCCCAAGGAGAAGAAGGCCAAGACCTTGGCCTTCATCAAGAGCCCCCTGATGAAGCAGAGTGTCAAGAAGCCCCCGCCCGGAGCAGCCGCCCGGGAGGAGCTGCGCAACGGGAAGCTGGAGGAGGCCCCACCGCCAGTCCTGCCCCCTCCGCCACGCCCGGTGGCCGACAAGGACACCTCCAACGAGTCCAGCTCAGGCAGTGCCACCCAAAACACCAAGGAACGGCCACCCACAGAGCTGTCCACCACAGAGGCCACCACGCCCGCCACGCCTGCCCCTTCCCTACAGCCTCGGGGGCTCAACCCAGCCTCCAAATGGTCCAAGATCCAGATTGTGACGAAGCAGACGGGCAACGAGTGTGTGACAGCCATTGAGATCGTGCCTGCCACGCCAGCTGGCATGCGTCCGGCGGCCAACGTCGCCCGTAAGTTTGCCAGCATTGCCCGCAACCAGGTGCGCAAGAAGCGGCAGATGGCGGCCCGGGAACGCAAGGTGACGCGGACCATCTTTGCCATCCTGCTGGCCTTCATCCTCACCTGGACGCCCTACAACGTCATGGTCCTGGTGAGCACCTTCTGCCAGAGCTGCATCCCTGACACGGTGTGGTCCATCGGCTACTGGCTCTGCTACGTCAACAGCACCATCAACCCCGCCTGCTATGCCCTCTGCAACGCCACCTTTAAAAAGACCTTCAGACACCTGCTGCTCTGCCAGTATCGAAACATCGGCACTGCCAGGTAGGCAGGCAGGAGTGCCACAGGAGGTGCTGCCGGCCCCGTGTGTGTGCTGGGGGGCCACATGGCTCGGCTGCTGTGGGGGAGACTTGGAGGCACCGCCGGTGTTCACGTGTGCTGGAGAGAACTGAGGTCCTTGAGGCCCCGTGAGGCTCGAGGAGGCGCTGACTGGATTCGGAGGCCGGATCTCTGCTCAGGCCTTAGAGGGTCAGTCTCAGGAAGCGCCTGCGTCAGGACCGCCTGACCCGTCTGTTGCCCCGCCTCAGGGAGCTGGGGGCACTGGCCTGCATGGGTACCTGTCCCACCGGGACCGACCAGCATGGCCTAAAGGACGCACATCTACAGGGGAGCAGAAACCCAGGATCCCCTTGGGAGGAGCAAAGGGGTCAAATGCTTGGACCCAGGAAGGGAATGGATGGGTAGGGTCCCCCATTCTGTGTAATTGGTGCTTTCTGCTCCCCTGCACCCTGCATGTAGGCTCAGCCCCTCCTCCCAAATCCCCCTTCAGGGGCAGAAGTCTCCCCTTGCTGCAGCTACTCAGGCAGGCTCTGGTTGGGTGGGCAGGCAGGCACATGGGAGCGCTGGCAGGGTGCCCCCCACCCCCACCTGCCTGGGTCCTGTTCAGGACAGACCAGTTGAGGTCAGGGATTCACACCCCGCACCTGAGGTGTGGCTCCCGTGGGGGCCCACCTTATTCTGCAGTGAACCCCGCCTCACCCAAAAGGAAAGTTTGTCTCAGGTCACAGGAGGGTGGGGCTGGGGCCTGTGCAGTCTGGTCCCTGCAGCTTGGCCCGTGGATGGGTCATCAGGAAGAACGGGGGTGGGCGTGACCCACAGACTTCCGTGACGGGGAGAGGCAGGCCAACCATCCCACATTTCTCCCAGTGGGGAGAAGCTTCCTGAATGGCAATGGCAAAGAGAACTTTGACTAGGTGAGGCTGATGGGAGTGTCATTTCTAGCGAACCTCCCAGGTTCCCTACCCCGGCCGGAGACCTCTGGAGAGAAGGGGACTGAGCGGCTTAGGGGACTTGTTGGGGGTGGGGGGGCACCCTTCCAAGGGTTAGTAGGGGACCTGGAAGAAACTTTCACAAATGCTCTGCTATTTCCATGAGCTCTGGGGAGCACTCACCGCCAAGCGCCCAAACCCCAATTCCCTCCACCTTTCTTTGCTCCACACTCTCCCATCCCCCCCCAACAAATGACCACAGCGAACTCCCTGGGAAGGGCTTTTATATATTAAAAGAAAAGCTTTTATTGGGAAAAAAGAAACACACTTCGGTTTATTTCTTTCTTAGTAATGGCATCATTGTGGGGAAGAGCAAAAGGGGGGGCCGGGGAATCAAATCCCTTTGTGGGGAGGCCCAAGCTTCCCAGAACCCCTCGCCCCCCCCCAACTCTGGGCAGGGAGTGAGCGGGGAGCCGCAGGGCATGATTGATAAAGCTACACGAGCAGACAGAAGGCACTGGTGGGCTTGCCCGGGCCGGGGCTCCAGGCGTCCAGCTGGGGCTAGTCCTTCCCCTTCCCCTTCTTGGCTGGAAAACAAGAAAGACCAGGTGAGCGGGGCTGAGGGGACCCGGCAGAACCCCCTCCTCTCATCGGGGAAAATAAAATTCTGCCCCCTAGTGGTTTTCCATCATCTGACCCAGAGGCGGCCGGGGTGGGGGTGGGGGTGGGAGTGGGGGTGGGGGGGGGCAGCGAGGGCGGCCATTATGATGCAGGATGCTCCCCGATCCCCCAAGTTAGGCTTTCACTTGGGATCAGAAACCTTCCGGCTGGGGGTTCTGTCCCGGGACAGCAGCCCTGCACAAAGGCCTCAGCGTCCTCACTTGCTAAGTGAGAAGCGTCAGCTCTGCCCGGGGGGCCTCCCCCCGCGGCGGGGAGTCGGAATGAGCCCCGGGACAGGGAGGCAGGGGCGAGGCGCCCCCCACCGTGCAGGAAGCCGCCCTCCCAGGACAACCTGCCTGGACCCTAAGCCCAGCGCTCCAGCAGCACGTTGTGCCAGCCCCAGAGCAGGGCCAGAGGGGTTCTCCATCTCCCGAGCACCTTTGGGGGCCCCCCGAGTAAGTGCCCGTCGGAGGGGTGCAGAGACGTCAAGAAGAAACTGGTCAGGGTCCAAACTTCAGGCTAACCATCCCCCTCACTGGAAAGGGGGGGGTCAGGGTCCTGCAACACCCTCCCCCCCTCACTGACCTTTGGCCTTGGTTTTGGTTTTGGGGGTGCAGGGCTTGGTCACACGGATGGTCTCCTGGCACTGGGCATTGTACCGCGCCTTCTTCAGGGTGCCTTGGCGCGCTTTGGTGCCTGTGCCCCCATCACACGCTCCCCAACTCTCAAACTTGTACTTGCAGTCGGCTGCAGGGAGAGCGGCGCGGTCATGGGGGCGCCGCCGGGCCCGCCGCCGGGCCGCCCCCCTCGGCGAGGTTGTGCCCCGGGGCCTGCCCTCCGCCTGCGCCCCGCCTCACCTCCGAACTCCTTCTTCCAGTTGCAGGGCACTCTGCAGCGGACGCGCTGGGTCTGGGCCCCGCAGGTGCCCTCGCGGAAGCCCGCGCCGCAGTCCTTGCTGCTGGGGGTGCAGGGTCCCCAGGTCCACTCCGCGCACTCGGCCCCCGGGCCGCCCTTCTTCACTTTGTCTACAACGCGCGGGGAACAGAGTTCAGGGCCGGGGCGCGGTCTCCCTCGGGGCCCCCTTCCTGGGTCCCGGGCGCCTTAGGGTGCCGGCGGCCCCCGCCGAGGTCGCGGGGCTCCACTGCCAGCCTCCAGCCCGGCTTCGCTCTTGCACCCCCGCGCCCCCACCCCCATCACCTTTCTTTTTGGCCACAGCGGAGGTGAGCGCCAGCAGGGCGAGCGCGAGGAGGAGGGCGCCTCGGAGCTGCATCCTGGGGAGAGCGCGGGTCAGACCCCCCGCCCGGGCCTTCCCCCGAGGGCCGCGCGCACGGGCCGCCCCCCCCCATTTTCCCGGCGCAAAGGGCCGGCCCCTAAGGTGGCGGCCGCACGCCTCGAGGGGTCGGTCCCCCCGCCGGCCCGGGCGCCCCCAGGCGTCACTGCGGGGATGCCCGGCCCGGGACGCGGCTCAGACCCCCACCCCCGACCCCACCCGCGCGCCGACAGCGGCCCCACGGCCCGGCCCGGCCCCCCGCGCCCCGGCCCCGCGCGCTCACTCGCTCGCTGCCCGCGGTGCTCCGCTCCCTCCCGCGCCGGGCCCGTCCCGTCCCGTCCCGCTCCGGCCGCCGCGGCCCCTTTTGTCTCCAGAACCGGTCTGAGCCGGTCACATGGGCCCCCGCCCCCCCGAGGAAGGGCCGCCCCGCCCCCTCCCCTCGAACCCGCACCGCCCCCAGACCCGGGCGTCCCCGCCTCCGCCCCCGCCCCGCGCCCCAGCCTCTCCGCCCCGCGCCCCTGGGCCCCCGCCCCGAGTCCCCGCGCTCCCCCCGGGCCGCGAGCCTGTCCCGCCGCGGGACCCCCAGCCCTGGCCCCGACTAAGGGTTCCCTGGGCCGCGGCCCCAGCTCTCCGCCCCCGCGGGCTGCCCTTCCCCCCGGGGCGCCCCCCTCCCCTCCCCTCCTGGCCGCGGGGCCTCGGGGCGGCGGAGCCCGCGGCGGGGTCACTGTCCCGGCGCCCCGCGCGGGGCCCGCGTGCGCAGCCCGTGGGCGGCTCCGGCCCTGAGCCCGGGTGCGCTTTAGCCCCGTCGAGGCCCGGCCCCTCCCCCGGGGCGGCGCGGCTTCTGCGCCCCCCGCGCCGCCCCCCGCCGCCCCCCCGCACCTCGTGCGCGGGCCGCGGCGCAGCGTCGTGCCGGGGAGCCCGGGAGCCGGGGAGCCGGAGCCCGCAAAGGCGCGCCGGGCCGGGGGCGGGGGCGGTGGGGGAGGGGCCCGCGGGCCGGGCTTGGTGGTTTGGATCGACAGGCGCCGTCTGAGGCGCTCCAGGCCCGTCCCGAGCCCCGCTGCAGTTACCCGCCCCTCGTGACCCCGGGGCCGCGGCCTCGGGGGCCCCGCGCCGGACGCCCCAACAGCGGAGCGAGTGAGGCCTGCGGGAGGGGCCGGGCCGGGCCGAGGGGCGCGAGAGCCGCCGAGCCCCCCGCCCCCCTCTTTCGCTTTCATTGTTGCCGTCCCGGCGGGAAGCGGGAAGCGGAGGACGCCGGCTCCTCCCCTGCCACGCGGAGCCGGACCGCGGGCCAGAGGTCAGGCTGCGGGCGGGCCTCGGCTCAACCCCGGGACCGGGCCCGGGTCGGCAGATCGAGCCCCGACGGCGCCGGCCGACCCCGCGGCATCTGGAAGAACCTCGGCCCTGCCCCCCCCCCAGCCCCACAAAAAAGAAAAGCACAAAGGAAAAAAATCCACTTTACTGAGTCATACCCAGCTGTAAACATCTCACCGCGCGCCCCGCCCCAGTCCCCAGGCCACAAAGTCCCCAATGAAATGACTGGGTGCAGGGGAAGGGTCACGCGGTCGGTGCCAAGCAGGTCAGCGGGCAGCGAGTGCAGCGGCCCCGCGTCTCCCGGAGGAAGCCCTGGGCGGGTGGGGTCAGGGCAGCCCGGGGTCGCGGCTCCCGGGACCCCGAGCAGGGCTCGGGAGGTCTGGGTGGCTTCGGAGGCTGTCCCGCCGGCCTCCGGCCCTTCCGCCCTCCCCCCGGGGCCCTCATCTCCCGGGAGGGCAGTCGCTCCGGTGAGGGTGAGGGCCACCCAGAGTGACCCAGTCTCAGCCCCTGAAAATCCTGCCCAGCCCAGTTCAGTTTCCTGTTCCCCTGTGAGCCACCAGGTCAGGTTGGGGCCTCCCGTGCAGGTGAGACACCCCAGCTTCTCAGAGTCCAGCCTGGGCGGCTCCGTAGCGGGCGACACGGGGCTCCTTCCCTGGGGCATGGGTCCCCCCGTGGCTGTCCCACTGGAATGTGGCAGTGAGATGGGCAAGCAGGGGGCTCATCCTCTGGCCAGCCCAGGCCCCCTGCTGCCCCAGCTTTGGCCCCACAGCTACACAGCTGTCTCCTGGTCCTCCCGCTGGATCATCTGGTAGTGCTGCCGGTTCTCCAGGTAGGCGGCCAGCTCCGTGTCCTGAGCCTTCTCAGCCCGCTGCCTGGGAGTGTCACCCTGCAACAGGGAGGAGCAGGGATCAGGCTTAGAGGCCGGGCTGCCGTGGGGAAGGGCGGGCCTTGCTGGCCTGGGCAGCCCCACCCCTGCCAGCTCAGGTTTCTCAGGGTCTGGACTGCGTCTGTGCGACAGCTTCGAACCCCGAGGGGGCCCCTTCCTACACAGCGCGAGAGTGGGAAGGGGCTGGTGTGTGTCTGCGAGGACTCCCCGCCGGCCCTGCTAGTCTGCTCACCTGCTGGTCCGTCTTCATGAGCGAGGCCCCGGCCTCCACGATGTAGTGGCAGATGGTGCGCTGGCCCAGGGCCGCGGCCTGGTGCAGACAGGTCTCCCCGCTGGGGGAACAGGCATGGCTGTGGGCCCCAGCCAGTCCTCGGGGCCCTCTGCCTGTCTCCCCCGAGGGTCATCGATTGGAAAGGGCAGGAAGTTTGGGGCCCTGGGGCAAGAGGGGTGGCCCAGAGGATGAGCGATGTGGCCAGGAAGGGTGCACGGGATGTGACGGGCCAAACGAAAGGGGCCATATGGAGACAGGCAGTTTCCGGGATCACTAGGGCTCCCCAAGGCCCAGTTACTCACTTTTCCTCCACAGCATCAAGGATCTCCGAGGGCGCTGGAGGAGAGGGGAGGGGAGGTCAGAGGCGGGCGGCCTCCCCTCCGCCCGCCTCGGCCCTGGCTCGGGGCCCCAGCTCACCGTGGTCCAGCAGGTAGCGGACCACGTCCTTGCTGCCGGCGCTGACAGCGTGGTGCAGGAGGGTGCGGCTCCGCTCATCCCGGTGCATGAGGTCCCCCCCGGCTCGGTGCAGCTCCTGGAGCTGAGGGGCAGCAGGCAGAGCAGGGCTGGGGTTCCACAGGGCTGCCCTCCTTCCAGTCACACTTGCCCCCCAACTCACAACCCAGGCCCCAGGCCTAGCAGCAGCCTGCCCCCATCCTCTGTCCCTAAGGGGCCTGTGGTGGCCACTCTGGAGTGTCAGGGGACGATGGGTCTCCCCCACCCCAGCAACACGGAGTCTCCGGGATCCCTGCCAACCAAGCCCTGCAGCCTGTGGTTCCTCCAGGACTTGCTCCTTTCTGGACACTGGGGACAGGCCGAGGGAGCCGGGAAGCGCCCACAAAGGGACAGATGTGGGCTGGACAGGGACAGGGCAAGGCAGAACGGGACAGTCACCATGGAGGTCCCGCAAGAGCAGACCCACAGACAGCTGCTGCCAAAGTGATCAGCTCTCGGCCCAACCCGGAGGCCTGTCTCCCCAGTGTTTGGGGGCTGCCTGGAGGAAGATGCTGGGAACCCCGGTGCTAGTACCATACAGAAATCTCTAGTACCTTACAGAAGTTGTTCCTCTTGGCAGCCTCAATCAGCTCTTCACCTGCACGGAACACCTGCCCATTACTCTCTGGGATGGAGGCCGTGCTTGTGTGGGTGCATGAACACGCGCAATGCACCAGTGCAGGGGGGCAGGCTGCGGGGCATGTGTTCCAGGGTCTGGTGGTGGTGAATGGGGCCGTGTGGACTTTGACAGCTAGGCTCCACCCTGGCCCACCCACCCAGCTTCACTCCTAGGACCCGGGAGAAAGGAGGGGTCCTGCAGGGAGAGGCCTCACCTTTAGGGGGTGCAGCATCCCCTGGCAGTGACCTGCAAACAGAGCAGGGTGAGATGGGGCCCAGCTGCAGCACAGGCCCAGCTTGTCGCCCTCCCAGCCCCAATAGGGGGGCACCCTTGGTTCTTTCAACAGTTTATTGAGTGCCTACGACATCTCCAGTGCCGTCTGGGGCGCTGGCCATACAGCAGTGAGCAGGACAGATGAGGACTGGCCCTCATGGAGCTTACATTCTAGACAGGGAGACAGGTGAGCAAATAAATAAGGTGTTTCCAGAGAGCAGGCGGGACTAGGAAGACGAGACAGGAGAGGGTACTGTAGTGCAGCTTCAGACAGGGGCCCAGGAGGACACCCAAGCCGAGACTTGAATGTGTGTGGGGGCCTCTGTGGAGGTGGGGAAGGGTGTTTAGGCAGCAAGGACAAGTCCAGAGCTGGCAAATTTGAGGACTCAGAGAACCAGGGTCAAGTGGGGCTGCAGGGGAGGGAGGCCGCTGAGGCCCCAGACCACAGGCTGCAAATGAGGATACATGACCGTGGTGGGGGGTGTAGAATGGGGGGTGAGGGCTGGAGGCCGTGGGTGTGGGGGGCTTGGGTGGGTGGTATGCTTGGATGTTGGGGGGAAGCTGACAGACCCGCTGAAGGTGGAGGTCGTAGGGTGGGAGCAGAGAAGTCACGGAGAAGCCCAGACCTTCAGCAGCGGCGTAGCCTCTGGGCCGGAGGGCTGCTGCGCTGGGCTTTGGTCATGTTCAGTTTGCTGCCAGGGAGTCCGTGGGCAGGCAGCTCAAGGGATATGGGTGTCTGGCACGCAGGGAAGGGGCTGGCACTGAAGGAGATCCAGGCGCTACGGCTTACGGAGGGGCTTAAGCCAGTGGACTGGCGAGGTGAGGGACTCACCGGGGTGTGGGTGAGCAGGGTGAGGTGGGGAGGGGGGAAGTGGGGGTTGGGAGGTCAGGCCGGGCCGATGCCCCCAGCAGCTCGGGGTCCAGGATGTAGATCTCGTCCTGGGCGATCTCGGTCACATAGTTGAGGTGCTCCTGTGGACGGGAAGGCAGGGCCAGGGGTCAGGGCCTCTCGGGACAGCCCGTGGGGGCAGCGAGGCCGGCAGACCTGGAGAAGCCCCTGCCATGAGCCTGCATGCCGACAGGAGGCAGCCAGGTGCGCGGCCCTGCCAGTCCCTTCTTCCCGCTTAGCTCCTCTCCTTTCTGGCTGCCCCAAGCCCAGCCCCTGCCCCTGCACGTGGCACCCAGCAGCTTGCCAGCCTCTCCCCACTGCTAAGCCTTAACCCGGGGGGCCTGGCCATTGGCAAAACGTGCCTTTTTTTCCTGTGTCTCCCTGGATGGCACCTGGGCTTCAAAAACCTGGCCCCCAGCCCCCATCAGCCTTTCTGGGATACGCCAGCTCCTTTTCATCTTGGCACATCCCTGAGTACTCCAGCCCGGAGGACCAGGCCTCCTCCAGGGACATGGAGAGTGTGTGTGCGCTAGCGGATCTGAGGACAGGGTGAGCCTGTCTGTGGAGGGGGGACTAACAGGGATGACTTCCCAGGAGTGGGGACCCCCAGTGCCCCGGAACCAGCCCTGGCTGGAGCAGGACTGTGAGGCTCACCTGGGCCCGGTCAATCCTGTAGAAGCGACTGGCAGTGGTGGCTGTGGGGAGACAGTTAGTTGGCTGAGGATGAAGGAGGCCCTTGTCCAGGCCCACGTCTTCTGCTGCCCCAGCCCAGGGAGGGGCAGGACTCGGCCTGGGGCTGCCACGAGCTGGCCTTTAGGGCCACTCACCATCCAGGAAGCACCACTTAGGAGACAGTTTCTGGCACGTTGGGGACTTGGCTCCAGCACCTTCCGGCTCCTGTGGAGAGAAGCAAAGGCCGGGGCTGGGAGAGAACAAAACCTGGGCCGGTGAGAGCCGCGCAGGGCAGGCTCCTGACCCCCAGCCTCACCTGCTGCAGCCTCTCGATGTGGGTGCGGCAGTGCTCCAGGTCGCTGTCTCCTGGGACCACCACAGTGCCCAGTGGCACAGCTGGAGGACAGAGCAGGCTCTCAGCAGGGGCCGAATCCCCCTGCCTTGCCCTCAGGGAATTCCACAGCCTCAGCACCGCCCCTGGCCCCTCAGCCCTGCTCGCCACTCACAGGCCTCCTTGAGCTGCTCCTTGTCGTAGTGCAGGGCCTCGTAGTCGTGCATGCTGACTCTGCTCACCTGGATGCGCAGCTGCTCAGGCACCGGCTGCTGGCTGAGGGGCGGGAGCAGTGCGAGGGGACTCAGCCGGGGACTCAGCCTGCCCCTGCCAGTCCCTGGCCAGGCTCCAAACCAGGCGTGCCTCCCAGCTGCCCTGGGCGGAGGGACTTTCCAGTGGGGGAACGAAGCCTGCCTTGTGGCCAGGGCAGAACGTACTCGCTGTGCAGGGGCGCGGCGCTGCGCCGCTTGGCCTTCTGCACCATGGTGGCTTGGTTGCGCAGGGCAATGCGGATGCGGGAGGCGGCCAGCTTGCAGGGCTCGCCGTCCACCTGCACCGGGATGGCCTTGGACGTGGTGAGCACCACCTCTCGGCACTGGGTCAGCCGCTCCCCGTGCCCTCCCACCTGCAGCGCTGCCTGCGGGCGCAGAAGGTGTAGGTCAGTGGCCAGGGCGGTGGGGCCCCAGACTCTGCTACTCTGCTCCTTCCCGAGGCGCACTGGCCAGAGGACAAGACACGGGGGACCCCCAGATGGAGAGCAGGGGGTGTGTGATCCCCTACTCAGAGGGGGCTGATGAAGGTGTCCCCCTGGGGATGCACGGGGAGAAGTCGAGTCACTCTTAAAGCATAGCAGGGAGGAAACGGTAAGCTCGGGGCCAGAGAAGGGAGGTGAGGGTAAATTCCCACACCCCGGCCAACAAAGGAGATGTGGGTGATCCCCCTGCTGTCTAGGGGTGGGCACAGCACAGCTGGGGCCACGCGCGGGCTCACTCACCAGGGATGTCATGGTGAAGCCAATGACCTCGAGGTAGCCATCATCATGTCGCTGGGGCTCAAAGTCGTGGTGCTCGCCAGGGTGGCCCCAGGGCATGGTGCCTGCACAGTACCTGGGGTGGGGAAGGACAGGCTTCAGCGGCCAGTATGGGGCAATGGAGACAGCAGGCCCCCCCCGCCCCCGGCCCCGGCAACCACTGTTCCTCACCTGGGGATGTTCAGGAAAACAATGCACTGGGGTTTCAGGTCCTGAATCTTGGGGGTCAGGTCCATCCCGTCACACTGGAGGCAGGGACAGGGGAGAGGGTTGAGGCATTCCTGCCAAAGTGGGCCTGTCTTTGCTGGGCCTGCCCACTCTGGGTGGCCCCACTCACCACCACGCGGATGTGCTTTGCCAAGTCCTTGGAGCTGCCCATCAGGAAGTCAGAGAAGGCTGTCTGTGAGAGAGAGGAGGTCACCATCTGTGGCAGGGGCTTTCCCTCACCGCTGCTAGGCAGGGGTCTCCCGGCCTGCCAGGCACAGGAGGGGGCGGGGGCAGGGACGGCAGAATAGCGGGAGGGAGCAGGCGGACCCGAGGCTCACCCCGGCATAGAACATCTTGTTCCGAAAGCGGCTGTTGAATTTCTCTGGGTTGGCCTCTGGGTGGTGACAAGAAATGAGGGACAGTCACTCTGGGTCTGCTGGGGCTCCGTAGGCCGGGGTAGGGAGGGTGGGCTGGGAAGGAAGGCCTTGTACTCGGCGGGGCAAGGATGACCCTCTGGGGAACAGCTAGTCTCCGTCCCTCCCCGGCCTCCTCAGCCAGAGGCTGCCAACCTCGTGACTCGTGAAACTCCAGGGTGACGTGGGCGTCAAAGCCCAGGCTGAAGTAGTTGTTGAAGACGTCCAGGGGCAGCTGGAAAAAGGCAAGGGCCGGCATGAGACATGGTCCTCAGACACCCCCTGCTCCGGGCGGCCTGTCCCAGGCCTCACAGCCGCTCGGCCCGTGCGTTTCCAGAGGCCTTTCCCACACGGTGAGCAGAATACACCAGAAAGCTCCTCCCCAGCTCTCCTGCCATGTCAGGGCCTGCCCTGCGCGGACCCCTTGGCTCCCTGAGAGGCTCCATGAGGCGCCCTGGACACCCCTCGCCCGGCTGACGCTCTCTTCCCCGGCCTAATGCCCCCGTGGCCCTCCTTCCCGCACGGAGTTCCCTGCGGGGCTCGGCGGGCTGGCCGGGGCTCCTGCTTGGACCTGGGCGATGGGCGCAAGCTCAATCCAGGCTGAGCGGCTGAGTCGCAGCTCTCCTGGGGGGCGAGCGCCATGATCCCACCGCACGGACTGGGGAAACAGAGACCCGCCCAAGGTCCCAGAGGCGTGAGCGGGAAGCAGGGCCCAGCCCCAGTCACCTGGGGAGCCCAGACACGAGGCCCCCAAGCCCCTGCACCCTCCCCAGCCGACCCACCCGGTCCGTGGCTCCCTCGTCTCGCTCCTCGGGCCCTGCCTCCGGGTTGGGCTCAGCGCGGAGGTCCCAGCGGTCCAGCTGCACCACGTTCCCCTCCTCCACGTGGGAGAGGATCTTGGACACGGGCTCGTCTGTGTAGCCCTGGCGGGAGGAGGCAGGGGCTGAGCTCCTCCTGGGGAGAGGCCCTGCCACCCCCAGAGCCACGCGCCCTCTTGTGGGCGCTTACCCCACCCCAGTTGAGGGTGCGGGCCAAGTCATTGCCGGTGCCCAGGGGCAGGATGGCAACAGGGGGCGGTGGTTTTAAGCGCAGCTGGTCCAGGGTGGAGAGGATCCAGCCGACCTGCGGAGCAGAGCAGGGGAGGCCAGGTGAGGCGGTGGGCCAGGGCCAGGGCCCAGGCCAGGGAGAGGTGAGGGGTGGGGGAGAGTGGGGGGCAGGGAGTCCCCTGGACGTACTGTGCCGTCGCCCCCGCACGCCAGGATCCGCAGGTTGTGCACTTTGCGGTACATCTCCAGCCTGGGGTCAGAAGACAGGAAGGAGGTCGGGGTGTGGGTACTGTACCCCGAGGGCCAGGTAAGCCGCCCCATGCCCCCCCCCCCAGAGCCTTGGCAAATACTTACGCCTCCTTGGGCCCTCCCTGGCTCAGGTCAAAGACTTGTCGGGGATTGAGATACCACAGGAAGGACTGGATGATCTTAGCGCCCTGGGGGGGTCAAGGGAGAGCGCTCAGGGGCGGGGAGCTGAGGTGGGGAGAAGGCAGGGAGAAGGATGTGGCTGTGGGAACCAGGCTCAATAAGGGGTGAGGGGCAGAGACAGGATGGGGTTTTCTCAGGCTCCCTGGGGAAGGCGGGTGGAGCGGAAGCCTACAACAGGACTTGGGAACAGTTGTGGGGCTCAGTGGAGAGGGGAGGCTGGCCGTACCTGGTTGCCCCCACTCTTGGGGTTCACAAACACCAGCAGGGGCTTCATGAGGGGGGACGGGGTGGGCCTGATGATGAAGGGTCTCCAGCGGCCCTCCTTGGAGACACAGAGTGCCTGTAAGGCTCCATTCTGTCCTGGAGGGCCCTGCCCATCCTCAGTGGTGCTCTTGGGCAGCCCCTCGTATGCCACCTCTGGGCCTGACCTTACAGTGGGCCTGGCCACAGAGAGGTTGCTCAGATCTGATCTTCCCCCTCCCCAGGGTCACAGCCCAGGCTGCCCCACTGAAGGCTGATCTGGCAGCATCAGCCCCGGGGCTTGGTATTCCAAGAACCAGACCGCTCTCTGCCCCGCTCTAGTTGCCCATCCGCCCAGGTCTAACCTCAGGCCCTTTCTTGCTAGATTTCCTCTTGAAGGATGCCCTCTTTTTCTTCTTGCTTGCCTTGAGGGTATTCTGTCAAGGAAGGAGGGGTGTTATTGGCGATAGAAGTGCGTAGGCCGGGGTGGCTGCCAGACCCCAAGTGGGTAGGGGCATCAAAGGTGTGGGCAGGACTCACCTGGGGCCTGCGGGCACGGAGGATCCAGGTTGGCGGGATGACCACTGCGGCGTGGACCCCCAGGGAGCACGGCTCCTCGATCTGCTGCAGCATGAAGCAGGACACCTTGCTGTGGTACTAGAGGGGAGGGGGGCGTGCTGAGCTGGGCTAGTTGAGACCTGGGGCCCTACTCAGCGCGGTGGCGGCAGCGCGGGGTCAGCCTGCAGGGCGGGGCACCACTCACGGCTTGCTTGCACCAGGAGCAGCTGATGGCTACGATCTCCTTGCTGTGGAAGGTGAACTTCTGCTGGAAGCCCTAGGGGGGCACAGGGAGGTTGCAGCACCCAGGGCCAGGCCCTCTTCTGTTGTCAACCTCGTTCCGTCCACAGAAATGGAACACATTTTTAAAAATAAATCAACTCTAAAATAAGCCCCTAGAGCCGGAGGCCTAGTCAGGGGCCTGTGACTCTGAGGTTAACGGTGCAGCACTGGGTGCTCAAGACTGCTCTGCTGGAGCTGCCACCGCGCACTCCTGACTCACAGCCCCTCCTACCTGACCTCGCACCCCGCCAGGCCCCACACAGTCCTTTCTGCTTCTCCTAGCACCTGCCACAGTCACTGTCCACACTGACTGAGGAAGTCCTGGGTGCCAGGCACTGTGCTGGGCACTACAAATAAATACAGAAAAAAGCAACAGGTCCATAAACCTTTCAGTGCCCACCTTTCAGACAGGAAGCAAACAACCATTCAGTGAACGAAACCACTTTGGGCAGTGCTGAGTAGGCCGCCTCAGAGTCTCTAGGAACCACACTGTCCTCCGGGAGCCCCTGCCCAGCTCTGAGCTCCCGACCCAACGGGTGCTCTGTAAATACTGGTTCAGTTATCGAAGGAGTAGTCTGTGAGACTCTCAAAGGGCTCCCTCACACTGCCCAGCAGTCCAGAAACTCTCCTCCCGGCTCCCTGCTCAGTCCAGAGACCAAGCGCAGGGTCAGGGTGCCTGGGAACTGACTGGGCACGACGGCCGGACAGAGCGCGAGCCCTGGACTCTGCACTCCAGGGACGCGGTGAAACCACACTGGACATACAGCAGTGGGGTGGGGGGCCCCAAGGGGTGGGGCTGGTGGGCGGCAGAGCCTCTCACCTTCCCACAGTGCCGACACTTGCCATCCTGGCGTCGCCTGTGTACCCAATGGTGCCGCACGAAGGTTGGCTGATGGAGGAGAAAGAAGTATCAGTGGAGTGAGTTAGGGGTGGGGGTGGGGGGGCACCAGCCCTGAGCCCTGCGCTCCTCAATAGATCAACAATGAAGGATGGGGCTGTTTAACCCTCCCTTGGGCTCAGCTCAGCCCTACACGCCAGGGCAGCCGAGAGCCCCCTGGTGGCACTCTGGAGACACTGCAGAGAGGCCCGCTCGGGCGAAACCCACCCACTGGCCACCAACCACCCTGAGCAATTACCTCACGAACATTCCTGGAGCCCGATTCCCGGAAGGATGGCTTGCAGCGGAAATTTATCTGCAAAACATGGCAGTGACCACCAAAACATCAGTCTCTCTCTTCAGGGTCAGGCACATGGCCACCCCCAGCAGGAAAGGGTCATTCAGACCCATCCTCACAAGGTTGGAGGCCCCAAATCTTCCCAGGAGCCCTCAGAACATGACACATGCTCCTTTCAGAAGGCCTCCTGCTCACTAGTCAGAGGAATCTTTCTCTGGCAGTATTCTGGGAGTTTGGCATCCCTTTCCCCCCTGAAATGGCACCATGGTGTCTTCACCCTCTATTTCCCCTCAGCCTCCTGCAGTCACAGCCTAGACACATGCAGGAAACCTGATCCTGTTTGCAGTCTGGTACTGATTGGTGCTGAAGCCCTTCGGGTACTTAGTTGAACCCCGGTTTGATTTTCACCTTAACCTGTAATGCTGCGTCTCCAATGCTGGGGGCTGCATGTGTTTCTCTCCTCCTAATTGTCCTGGCTTGAGCCTTAGCAAAATTGTAGGGAAGCCTCACTCTGTGTCAGGGCTGGGGAGCAGCCCTTCTTAGCCTTGCGCATTGACTCCTCGTCCTATAGGCCTTCCCCATGCTGACAGGGGTTTCTGCTGCCTGGGGAATCAGGATGGGGGTGACAGCCCTCTGAGCCTCTGCCTGGACCCGCCCGCCCAGCATTCTCTCCATCTCCCTCTGCCCAGACACGCTCGTGGCTGCAGACATGCTGTGGGCACTGCTCCTGGGGAAAGGTCTCTACAGGGGCAGTGTGCAGGGCACACAGCCAGGATTTGCAAAAGGGACTGGCCTAGCCACACTGAGTGATGAGGCTTCAGCAAGGCCAGGCCGTCTCTAAGTGTCAACCTGGATACTGACAAAATGTCACGGCTACTGCGTTAATTCATCCCCCTGAGTTAATGGTGCATGAGCCCCACTCCATGCCGGGCTTGATCTGGGAGGTTGGGGTAGAGCAGTTAATACAGGGGGAGGTGTGATTCAAATGCAGGCCTTTCAGCTCCCGGATCCATGCCTCTTCACCACCGCGGGCACTAGGGCACCCGTGGCAGGTGGCACTCAGGTAACATGAGTCTCTGTGTGCGGACAGGTGTGTGTGCCGAGAGGGGAGGGGCAGGAAGGGCTGAGCACCACACTCACCTTTTCCAGCTGCTCAATGCAGGGAGTATGCACCACAATCTTGCAGGCGGCACACTTTCTCCGGGACACTGACTTCTGCTGCAGGGAAGGAGGAGGGGTCCCTGAGGCACCAGGAACCTCCATCCAGGATGCTGCCCCAGGGCAGGCAGAGAAATCCATGCATCTGCCCCAGGTGCACCGGGGCCCTCTGTGTACACTGGGAACCCCGAGTCTTGACTCCTGGCCTCAGGACGCAGCGCCCTCGCCTCTGCTCAGGTCAGCCTTGCTCCCCCCGCCCCAGGAAGAGCCGCAGCTGCCCGCCCGCCGGCTTCGGGCCTCAGGCTGCAACCTGCGGCTCCACCACCAGGGGGCAGCACGCGGCAGCGTTCACTCACCAGCATCTTAGCTACACAATACTGCTCCCCAACATAGCAGAAGTCCCCCGACACGTTGGTCTCGAACCAGATGTGCTCCCCATACGTCGCTGATTCCTAGATGATGGGATGCGCGTGCTCAGCTCACCACTGCTGCCCAACCCCCGAGTCAGCCGGCCCCGCCGGCCCTGCCTCTCCCCAGACAAACCTGCTCGGCCACCACAACCCCGACTGCTCTCCCCACCGGCCCTCCTCAGCTCAGCTCCGACCGGCCACCCCAGGAGGCCTTCTCAGACCCCACAGGCCCATGGAACCTCCACCCCCAACTGCTACTGCGGCCCAGAGCCCAGCAGGGGCCGAGCCCTGCGCCCCCAGCACCCGCCACTCACGCTCCAGTCCACGGTGCTCCGGATCTGCCGCTCTGGCTCGCCGCACGGGGCTCCTGGGGCGGGAGGAGGGGGTGCCAGGTGCGGGAGGCCCGACTTGGTGATGGCTTTCCTGCAGAAGAGGAGACGGCTGAGGCCAGCTGCACCCATGTTGACTCCGCTTCCTTCCCCCTCACCTGGGATCGCTGCCCTCGCTGTGGCCACAAGCCGGGGCCAAGACACGAAGCAAAAGGAAGAGCAGCGGCCGACAGCAGCCCAAGGGGCTCAAGAACCCGTGCGGGAGACTCAGCCCTGCTGGCGTGTCCTGGCTTCTGGACACCACCCAGGGCTGTTCCCAAGCAGAGCGCCCTCCAGCCAGGCAGAACCTAGAGCCCTCGTCCAGACAGCCCCTGGAGGCCAAACCACTCGCCCTGCGGGCCGCAGCTATACCTACGCAAGCAGGGCGCTCCAGGCCTGGGGTCCCGGCGACTTGCGCCGCAGCGCTACCTGCCGCCGGCGGGAGAGCGGCCGCATGCCAGCTGTGGTGCCCGAGGCTCTTCGGCCCCCAGGGCCAGGGTGCTGGCCCAAGGGCCGCTGCTGGCTGAGGCGCCGATAGTAGCCGTGCAGGCCCCAGAGGGTGGGATCGCACGCCACGTCTGCCGGGAGCAGGTGGGAGGAGGCGCGGCGCCGGCGCAGGCAACGAGGCATGGGCAGCAGGGGCCGGGCAGCATGGTGGGGGGGCGGCCCGGCTCTCTCGGTGCCCAGCTGCGCAGCTCCTAATGCCACAGCTGGCACATCCTCCCCCTGGGGCCCCTTCTTCTCCTCCTCCTCCTCCTCCATGCCCACCAGCCGGGCCAACAGCAGGGGTGAGCTCAGAAGTTGGGCCCCTATGTTGGCCGACTGTGTGGGGGACACCTCATCTACGATGAACCGGGGGTTGTGGGCAGGAGGAACGGTGCTGGAGCGCCGGCGACTGGAGCCCCAGGTCCCCATGCCGCAGCTCAGGAGGCAGCCCTGCAGCTGTGCACTGGAGCGGCGCCGTTGGACCAACGAGGCGGAGGCCTGCCCAGCAGGGGAACGGCGCCGGGCCTTGCCCGTGGGCAGCCCCACGCCACTGGGCCTCCGCTGCCCCTCTCCGGGACCTGGGGCCTTCCGCTGGAAGTGTCTCTTAAAGAAGGTATCCATGGCAGGGGCAGGCAGGTGGCTGTTGGGCACAGAGACCAGGCGCATCAGGAGCCAGGTCAGGTCATGGCCCATCCTATGCCCAGGAGCCCATTCACAGCCTCTGCCCACTGAGCAGAGAAGGGGCACTTGGGAGGAAGGGGGGTGTCTATGGCTTCTGACCTCTGTATGTGAGGTGCTCGACGGTAGCAAAGAATCCTTGGGGGGCCCACATTTATAACCCTTAGAAGTACTGATGCCGTCCCCAGTTACACCGCAGGAGTGATGGGTGGTGGTGGTGGGGGCCTCCCGCTACACCTCCCGCTTCCCCTGTCCAGGCACCATTATCCGCAAAGCCCCGGCCTGAAGAACTTAGACTCGCTTGCCTGAAGCTGATGAAAGGAAAAGAAAAGGAAGCTGGAAGCTGGGGTTCTGGATGCCAGTTAGGAACTGGGCCTAGACAGACAGGGCCGGGACAAGGCTTCCTCTCTTGTCACCCATAAGAAGCAGGTTAGGGTTATTAGGTGCCCTCGGGGACGTGGCATGAACTAACCCATTACAATAAACGAGGCTCTCTGAAGAAAACTAAGGACACCCCTACACCCCCAGCCACTGAACAGGGCCTGGCTGAGCATGGCACCTAGACACGGAGAGGGTCTGAAGTCCAGTTCAGGGATTCAAGGACTCTGGGAATGAGGCCCTCAGAACTGGAGGGGCAGCTGCAAGGGAGTCTTCACCCAGGGACTCAGTATGGGAGGCCACGAGAGGCTTAAGCCAAGACCAGAGCCCTCTGGATTCTGAGTGCGCGTGCATCTGAAGCTCAGGGGCTGACAGTAAAGACCGTTCCAGCACCAGATGCCCTCTCGCTCCCTTCTAAAGAGGCAGGTGTGCACATCCCACGTGTGGAAGTCCTCGGTGAGGTCTGAAAACCCCTCCAGCTCTGCCAGCGAGGGACCTGCAGCTGACCTTGGAGCCATCCTAGAAACCCCAATGCTCAAAGTCTAAACACTGAGCTGCCCAGAGCATCCCCCGCGGGCCTGCTGGTGACCATCCTTGCTCGAGCCATCTGCTCTTGGCCTGTCTGACCCCAGGCCTTCCTTCACCCCTTCACCTACTCCTGCTGTCCCTACTTAACACGCTGGGGGCATCTGCCCCCTCACCGCTCCCTAGCAGTGGGGGAAGGGCAGGAAGCCCTCTATGCTTCCAGGGGGCAGGGGAGGCCAGTGTCCCGCCTTCAAGTGCTCTCCTGTGCCCTGGCGCCACAGGCAGGCCCAAGTCAGGGACATCTGCTTGGAGAAACACTTCCACTTGCAGGTCTGGCAGAGGTCAGGGTGGTGGCTGGGATAGAATGGGGCTTGAGGGGCCAGACCAGCCTGCATGTCTGGGGCCTGCCCATTTGCTGCTGCCCTCTGGGTCCTGGCAGACAGTGTTGGGCTGCAGCCCTGATGGGCGCAGGGGGACCGAGAAGTAAGATGAGTGGTGGCCATGGCGTCTGAGCTGCTGTGACCAGGGAGCATCAGAGGCAGCCATCCTGGGAGGCAGTGTTGGAGACTCACAGGCTCCTGGTCTCGGCCTGTCACAGACCCCGCCCATGCAGGTGACAGGGAGAGGGGGAGGGGGTGAGCGCCGGGCAGGGGAGCAGGTACCGGCAGAGCTCTTGGCTTCCTCTTAAAATCACTATCATTGCGCTGACACTGACCGACTGCCCCCCACCCCCTATCGCCCCGGGTTCACCGGCTGCACCGAGCCCTTCACAAACATGTCATCATTTTATAAACCACAATACCCTAAGGAATGGGCATTGCGTCATGCCGTGTCCCTGAAGGGAAACTGAGGCACAGAGCGGTAACTTGCCCAGAGTGCACAGCTAGCTCGTCTGGACACGGTCCATGCTGGAGCCGAGCGTCTCTGAAGGCCAGGCTGAGCCCGAGACACAGTGGAGAGTAGCCTGCGACGGGGCAGCGAAGAGAACTACGATGACCATCATGGCTGCATGTGCCGCACGCCTCCTGTGCCCCGGGCTCTGCGCCGTCACCTGTCCTCTCATGCCCTGTGAGGCAGGCAGGACCAGTGGCTCCATTACTGAGCTGAGGAAAGCGAGGCTTGGAGTACAGCGACAAGGTCACCGGGCCGGTCGGAGACAGAACTGGGGCCTGGACGCAGGTGTGCCCGCCTCAGTCTGCTCTGTGTCCCAGGCCTGAGCCCGGAGGCCTGGCTGCCCATGGCTGCCAGGCACTGGCCTGCCAGCTCTCTGCAGGGTGTCGGTTTTCTCCACCCGTCTGGTCAGGCCGTCCTGTGACAGCTGCCCAGCCTGGAGGAGATTAGTCACCCGGACACACCGCCTGATGCTAGTGTCACCCAGAAAACAAAAGGCCACAGTCAGTGGGGGGAGGTGCTGCAGAAGCGCTGCAGGTGGCGGTGAGGGCTGGGCCCTGCCTGCTGTCCCAGACCCACACCAAGAGGGACCCGGGGAAAAGGCCACTTGCTCGCCTCTCTCATGACACGGGGCAACCTGCAGGTGCCCCACAGTGCCCTGGCCCGGTGACCCTGCTGGGTAGCCCCAAATAAACATCTGTCCAGGAGTCTCCGTGGTTGTCTGAGGGGCAGTCGCTTTGAGCGGGGAGCAAGGCAGGCTAGGGCAGTCCCCTCACGGGCCTGCTGCCTTTTTGTCCCAGGAGCTTATGAGACTGGCTGATGCGACATTTGCCACACACTCTCTCCCAGGCACCCATGCCTCTGCCTCCCCTGGCCCCCTCCCACCAGCCCCCTTGCTTCCTGTTCCTCTGGTCGCCATAGAAACATCTGTCCTCTGGTCAGCAACTGCCTGACTTCTGACTTCCTATCTCTGTGCAGGCTTCTCCTGGGTCTGGTCAAAAGCTCAGGCAGGCTCAGGTCTGCTGCAGCCTTTCCTCTGCCCGAGCCCGGGGCTTTTGCCCACAGCACAGATCTGCGCGGCGGCTTCTTCTCACCTCACGCTCCCTCACCTATGACACACCACACAGTCTGTGCATCTAAAGGTCACTGAGGAGGCCCCACAGGTTCTGACACCAGAGCAGAGCAAAATGGCTGCCCCTCAGCCTTCTGGTGGGGGGCTTGGGGAAAGGCTGTCCCTCCCAAAGGGCACAGGGTGGGAAAGGACTCATGGGCCCCAGCCAAGCCCACTGCCTGCCAGGGCCTGGGGAGGTCCGAGGTGCCACGGATGAGACCAGCTCAGCGCTGTCTGGCCACACACCTTGGGTGGACCGACCAAGTGGGGTGAGCGGGCATGAGGGCGCCTGCTGGAAAGGACAGGACAGGAGTCCCGCCTCCTGGCCCACACTCTCACACCCAGGGGGGTTTTCAAATGGAAAGACCAAGGGTTCTAGAATGCTGATTCTGCCATCGCTTCCCTGAGCTCATCAAGGCACCTGAGTCTATTTTCTCATCTGCAAAATGCGGGTGATGCTACCTAGTTCAGAGGTTCTGATGAGATGATGGTATAAAGTACCTGATGGTACCTGGCAGAGCAGGGGCATGGCAGGGCCCAAAGCCACAGCAGACCCCGGGATGTGTGGATCGTGCCACCACCTGGAGTTTGTCTCTGCCTGTGGTGGGGGGGTGGGGACCCAGAAAGGGAAGCAGGAGTGCCCAGGGTGGTCACCACCCCACCACATGAGGAACAGAGCCCTGTAGCAGGAGCCACCTGGGTGTCTGCTCATGCTGGGAGGAATGCCCTCTGCCCTGATACCAGGCTTGTCCCCGGGAACCCCGCTGCTCCAGAAGGGCTCACCAGGACACCCCATGGCTCTCCTCCAGAGTGCCCACCCCTCGCTATGCATAAGGCCCCACAGCCGGTCCGCTGCGGAGGCTGGGAAAGCTGCCCTACTTCCAGCAGCCCCAGAGCAAGGGCCTGGAGAGGCAAGCCCCCTGGGGAGGCAGCTCTGCTCCCACAGCCCCTGGGTCAGAGGGAAGGAGGCAGGGACAGCTGCAAGGGAGGCCTGCCCGGGGGGCTGGTGACTAAGGGGATCTTGCCCAGAACAAAACAAACACAAATGCAGAGCAGGAATGGGGGCAGGCCAGACTGCATGGTAAGGAGGTGCCAAGACAGGGGCTGCTCTGGCTTAGGAGGCAGGGGCTCCACCTCCACCTTCCCATTCCTTTCCATCAGCCTCAGGAGCCTGGCAGAGGAGGACCCTCCTCTAGGGAGAGTGGTGCCTGGAGCCACCCTGATCTACCCCTCCCCAGACCCACCCAGTTAGATACAGGAGGGAGGAAGCAGAAGGTAAGGAAGGGTTGGGGGAAGCCCCTTTTGACCTGATCTGGAAGGTGGGCGAGCAGGTGGGGGCTGGGGTCCCCTTGGGCAGATGAGAGCCCCGGCTCTGGCTCCAGCTCCTGGCTGCCGGCTGGAGGCCCAGCAAGTCCTAGTTTGGAGAGCGAGCGGCTGTGGCTGCTCCTCTGCCCCCTCCCCCCGCACTCTCCTCCCCCCGCCTGAGAGCCGTTATGAAAATAACCCAATTGGTAACCGACTGCACTTCCTCTCCCAGCGGCGGCTCCCGGCCCTGCAGCGAGCCGACAACGAGGGTGGGCGGAACGCACCCCAGCTTTGCCTCCTGGCTTCTCTCCCCCAAGTCCCCAGGGTGGGCCAGGCAGGCTGAGCCCAGGAGCCTCCCCTCCACGTGCCTGTCACAGCACAGCTCCTGCCTCGGATCCCCACACGCTTGGGGAGGGAGAAGTGGGGGGCAGGCTGGCTCCCTTCCCTGGAGCTACCTGCGCCCTCTGGCACCCACAGGGCAGGCTTTCAGGGATTTAGGGAAAGCCTCTGAGACAGCTAAGCACTGGCTCCAGACAGAATGACCACAAAAATAAATATCTGCTGAGTGTTTCACAACTTACAAAGCACTTTTCTACAAGCTTTATCAGACGGGAGCCTCGTCATTGCTCGAACCAGGGGCAGCGGGAGCCCGAGGAGGCTGGCACGGAGGCCCACGGCTCAGAAGTGGTGGAGCCGGGGCTCTCAGTCAGGTCTCCTGGCTCGGCCAAGGGGCCCTGCCAGAGTCTCCCTGGTTGGTGTCCAAGAAAGGTTGACCCGGGGGACACATGCCCGCTTATAACACACCCCTCGCCCACACTCCTGGCTCCCGAGGCGCTCAAGTGGCAGCTCTCAGACGTCCCCATCCCAGGACCCCTTCATAGTCTTCAGATTATTGAAAATCCCAAAGAGGTTTTATTCATGGAGACTATAGCTATTAATGGCTGCCATATTAGAAATTAAAATGAGAAACGTTAAAAAATGTTTATTCATTCTTTTCAAAGCAATAAGCCCACCACACATGAACATACATCATTTTATGGGGAAAAATTACTTAAAATGTGAAAAACCACCAAGAAGAGTGGCATTGTTTCAACTTTGGCCAATCTCTTTCATGTTAGCTGAAGAGAAGAGAGCTGGAGCTCGTACCTGCCTCTTCAGTCAAGCTGTCGCAAGAAGTTGTTTGGTTGAGGTATGCGAAGAAAATCTCATCTCACACTGACATGTAGATAGGGAAGGAAAGAAAGATTTTAATAACCTCTCAGGCAATTACAAACATTCTTCTGTGCTCCTTCACCAAAGTATGACAAGTGGTAGTTTCTGAAAGGTTAGTGGAGCAATGTGGAGCCTGAAACCTTATCAATGAACTTTGCATTATCTTGCATTTTTAGAATTTTGCAACATCAAACATCAGGCTTTGGAAAACACTGGTTTACTGAGTAATGAAAATCTTCCAAGTATGGACACATTTCCTTCCACAACATCAAAAAATCACTTTTGCTGGTATTACCACTGTTCTCCTCCGACCAGTCTTGACATCCTGGGAAACTGGCAGGCTCCAGAGGATACGATTTTCACTCAAAAGTCCAGTTTATCATTAGCAACAAACAGGGATAGTGTTTTTTGAAGTGGCAAGTTCATGTCACTCATTTTTTGAGAAAATAGCTGCTACACACCCACATCTGCACAGACCGTCAGTACTTTTGTGTTAAAGATGCTCTTTTAAACGAGACCTGAGTGCAGGGTGCCAGCCCTGAAGGGCTCCCAAGCCACAGCCCAGCCCCTCTGCAGCAGCAGTGCCTTACATCGCACAGGATATTTAAAAAAACATATACTCAAAGGCCTCGGCTTTACAATTATTTTTACCACATCTTTGTTGTTCTCATGAGTGCGAAGAATACAACAGCTCCTGCTTAAAAGGGTCACTGCCTCTGCCTGTGCTAAGGTAGCAGATCCACTCCCCGCCCCCCACCCCCCCTTTTTTTAGCACCATCAGTAAAAACATTAGCACGGGGAAAAGGGGCACGAGCCAGGGCAGTTATAAAAGTGTTATTACGATCTTACCAATCAATGCCCTCAAGGGTCTAGGGTACCCCAGGACCATGCTTTGTGAACCACTGATTCAGAAAGCTTTCCAATCCTCCAGCCTGGCAAATGAGGCTTTTGCAAGGTGGTCCTAACCCAACCTTGCACTCATTGACGCAGACCCTTGTTCTAGCCACGCCAACCTATTTTCTGTCCCCCAGCGTGGTGGTGCCAAGCCCACTGCTGTGCCCCTGCATGTGGCACACCTTCTGCCCGGAATACTGGCCTCCTTCCCCACTTGTATCAAAATCCCACCTGCTCACAGCTGCCCTAGCCAAGAACACATCACTCCAACTGACGACTGCACATCACCCATTGGCTCTCCTGCCCCGGACTCCGGGAAGTCCTGATTCTTTCAAATCCATATGCCTCATTCCCCCTCCGCACCCCCCAGCAGACCACAGGTTCCCAAGGGTCCAGGGCCAGAGCTAGTGCAGCTGGCCATGCCCTGCACAGCGCAGGCCGCGATCCAGTGTTTACTGTCCATCACCCGGGAAGGAACAGGGAATTCCGTGGGGGATGGGCTAGCGCCTTGGGGGAAGAGAATGGCTTCCTCCACCTCGGGTACTGCACCCAAGGGCTGACCACAAGGCCCAGGCTGGCCCAGGCCACTTCTTCTTGTTGGGCACAAGGGACAGCAATAGCCCGTTTTAGCAGCCCCCTTCCTCTCGGCTCCAGAAGACCTGAGGAGTGACAGCTGAGGCCCCTTTTCTGGGCTGGGTGCCATCGCCCACTCCATGCTCTCCACGGCTGTCCTTATGAGACCTGGACAGCCTGATTTGGCGACATGAAGTCACATGGGAGGGTGGTTGGCAGGGGGAGGGGTGGCCTGAGACCCTTGGGGGCTGGGCTAGGATCACAGCTCAGAGCTCCGCACTGAAACACCCCCAGTTTCTCCTTTGTGTGCCGAGTCCCAGGGTCTGGTTCCTGGTAGCCCCTGGAGAAATGTGTGCAGAATGACTGAGGGACTGACTGATTCCTTTGAGCCTCTCTTCCAAGCTATTCTCCCACTGCCCCCAGATTTCATTCTGAAGTACCCACTTGCCCTGCACTGTCAGCTGAGCAAAAGGCGAAGACGGTGGCTGGCCTCCTCCCGCATCTCTTTCATACTTCTTACACGTTACTTGACAGATGCTAGTTCACCTCGGGCTCAGGGCCAGGACACTGTTTTGAGTGTTTCACAAATATTAACTCATGTAATTTTCACACAAAGTATTATCCCTGTCTTACCGATGAGGAAACTGAAGCGCAAAGATAAAGTAATTTGCCCGCAGTCATGCATCTGGTCAGTGGCCACCCAGGAGTCTGCTCGGGACCCATGCTCTCAGCAACCCCTCACCCCTGCCAGCAAAGC